TCTGCACCAAGGCTCAGTGAAAGAGCATCCTTTGAGGTGGCCCAGGCTGTTCTTGGATACAAACAGGACCCAAACTTCCATAAAGGACTTCCAACCCCTCTCCGCACTGTCTGGCTATCTAGCCTCAGACCTCTCCCAAAGTCGCCAGTAGTCGCCAAAAGAGAGCTGCTCAACCTCTCGAACATTTAAGATGTGCATGCTAAAGCAAGAGACCGTGTTCGTCTAAACTTGCTTCCTTTAGGCTCCCTGTCGTTCTTTGCATAGGTCTTCCTTTTTAGGGAGTTCTTTGATCCTACCAGGGATGCCTCTTCCTCTGAACCTTGTGGCCCTTGAAATACTGGTATTCAACAGAATTTTGTCCTCAACCCCGTTCCGGTTTTTTTCTTTGCCCACTATAAATAACTGTATCTACGCTCACTTCAAGTTGCTGATAACCTCTAAATATGTATCTTTGGACCTCATAAAGTCCATCATTTTCAGCTGGCTCCTGCACTTTCACCTGTGTACCCTGCAGACACTTCAGATTCCAAGTTTCAAACACTGTTCCAGCTTCTGCTGTAGCCTCTGTTAACAGAAACGCCAGATTCCCAGGCAGTACACACCTTAAGGGGCCAGCTGTGAGGCACAACAAGTACACACAATGCATAGGGAACCACATCTTACATGGCTGACTACAGTTGGAATCACAATAGCCTAAATCCTAATGGGATGAGGAAATGGAGGAAGAAGGGTTGGGGCAATGCCCCACTGGGAGAAATGCGCTCTCTCTCTCTCTCTCTCTCTCTCTTACTCTGGCAAGAACACACATTCTCTGAAAATAAAAAAAAAATTAAATCCTGTAACAATGAAACATCATGGAAAAATAGGCAGAGGTGTAATTTATTGAAATTATAAATTTGAAAGTTATTTCTTTCTTAATAATTTAAAATTTTTATAATTCTATTTCCAGAAAACACATTTTACCATTCAAAAACCAAATAATTTTGGGGTCTGGAAGGTGGTGTGTATTCTCTGAAAATAAAAAAAAAATTAAATCCTGTAACAATGAAACATCATGGAAAAATAGGCAGAGGTGTAATTTATTGAAATTATAAATTTGAAAGTTATTTCTTTCTTAATAATTTAAAATTTTTATAATTCTATTTCCAGAAAACACATTTTACCATTCAAAAACCAAATAATTTTGGGGTCTGGAAGGTGGTGTGTTTATTAAGCACTGGACTCCCATGTGGCTGACTGGAGTTCAAGTCCCAGATCTGGCAGCTTGCTTTCTCACTTTCCCTCTTTCTCAGTCTCTGTCCTCAAATTAAAAATAAATAAATTAATTAATTAATTCTTTTTTTTTGAAAGAGAGATTTTTGCTAATAGGGTGTATGCTGTCACTAGAGAGAGAGAGGCAGAAAGACAGAAAGCAAGAAATCACCCCCCAGGAGAGATGGCCACATCACAATCCCTTCTCCTCCATTCTCTTCTTGGGATTTTGGGTACACATGCACACATATCTGGCGTGAGTTTTAAGCTTCCAGGTCCAAGACTCAAACCACAGTTGACCACCTAAGAATCCAGTGATGTAACTGTTACACTATCTGCTGGTCCTTAAATAATTCTTTTTTAAAAATTAAAAAATAAAGTAGAAATTATAAGGCCATCACTGTAATCGGCTAAATTTTTTTAAACACTGAAAGTACGTAAAATGTGAAATATGCACTTCTTAGCCCTAACATATTAATTCCATAGCTCATTTTCTCCATTAAGACTTTTTACACTTAATTATAAAGCTTACCTAAATTGAAAGACATAGAGTCACTAAGAAAAACAATCACCAGCCTTGTTAATTAAAAAGGTAAGGATCCTGATTTGATCCTGGACCCATTAGCTTGCTTTCTCACTTTCCCTCTCTCGCTTTCACTCTCTGGGCAAATTAAAATAAATAAAGTTAAATAAAGTAGTTCTTAAAAGAAAAAGACAAAAAAAGGTAAAGACTGGGGGACCAGCAATTGGTGTAATGGCTATGTTGCTGGACTCCCATGTAGTCGACTGCGGTTCAAGTCCCGGACCTGATGGCTTAAACTCACACTGGGTGTATGTACATGCGTGCCCAAGATCCCGAGAGGAGAATGGAGAAGGGATTGTGCCGTAGCCATACCCCCTGGGGGGGAGGATTTCTCGCTTTCTTTTCTCTGTATCTCCCTGTGTTTCTGGCAACCGCACATACCCTATAGCAAAAACCCTGGGGGGGAGGGGGGCGGGGAGACTCAAGTCCTGCATGTGTATGTGCATACCCAAGATTCCAAGAGGAGAATGGAGAAGGGACTGGGGCATGGCCATCCCCCTGGGGGGTGATTTCTCACTTTCTGTCTCTCTGTCTCTCTGCTGAGCGCACATACTGTACAGCAAAAATCTCTCTTGAAAAAAAAGGAAAAGAAAGTCTTTCCGGGAACTTGTTTTTCCCCAGAGCTAGCATGAGCAAGCCGAATCAGGAGTCAGATATACGGGCCTTCGGAGCCAGTGTTCTTGGCCTGCTTCAAGGAGCAGATTGGTTACTGAGAAGGGCCCGTGGTGGAGACCAAGGGAATCCAGCCTCAGCCTCCAGATGAAGACAGTGGTCACGCTGACAAGAAGAACAGCCCCAAGTGGTGGTCTTAAAAAAGGGAGACTTGTCAGTTGAAGAAGTCATGAAGATTAAAGCAGAAATAAAGGCTGCCAAAGCAGATAAGAACCAGCTCCAGCTAATGGAAGAATTACGTATCGAAAACCAGTCAAGTGTCCCTCAGATGAAAAATACTCAGGTTTGTTAGCCAGCTCAAAAAAGA